GAGATGAGATGGTAGAGCTTGCTCACCATGTTGCCTGGAGGTGAGTGAAAATGTGTGTTTGACGAGGAGAGTGAGGCGGATGTTTGATTGGTTGGCTGAAGGCATCTTGTCATGAGACCGCTCAAGACATCAGCAAGACGTCATATCTCACCACGAGTGTCACAGTGAAGCCTCTGACATATTTTTGCGGATGCCGCCTTACTACTTCGACATTTTTCTCTCAACCAAGTCGATAGCTGCCCTTCGACGCCTCGTATCTAGCGGACATTTGAAACATGTCAATTACTTTTGTTAGGTTTTAAGGGTTCGCCTCGGTCAAAATTAAGACAATGCATTTGAGCTTTAGGCTTACGATGATTAGAGTTTTGTCTTTCCTTTCGAACATCTTACAGCACTGACTTTGTTTTGTCTTTAGCTTTGCAGAAGTTAGTATGTCAAACATCAATACTGTCATCTACTTGGATGATAGCATCGCCTTCAATTTTATTCGGGCCTGTGAAATTGGTGGTTTACATGTTCTTTTTACAATTATGAATAGTCAGATTACATCTTGCTACTTTGTACAGCGAAAAGAATTGGAAAATTCTTCTGTAACTTTGCGTGCAGATTCATTTTATCAGGTAATTTTTCCTTTTTCCATCCTTTAAAGTATCTTTTGCCTCCTTTCTCTGCCCTAGGACCAAGCAAAATTCGCTTCTTTTTTTACCAAACCATATCAACAAACAATTTTAATTGTGCTTGATTTTGGTTATAATTACCAGAAAGTGGGTGGTTTATTATCTCCGACTGGACACTTTATTATTATTTTTGACTAGACTGATAAACGGGCTAACTTTATTGCCCTTTCATAAATCTCCTTCTTAACGTTTACGAGCAAGCGGCGATTATCTTTTATTTCTGATTTATTTTCAACAATTATGAAGTCTTACAGAAAGTTGACGCAATAATTTTTTTGAAGAAAATTACTATAATTAAGAGTCATTGACTTGTACATTGATCATGCCTTTCTGACCAATAGGATTTTAGGTTGCCTCTCAATTCTGATTGGTTAATTTTGAGACCATTTTTTTCAATTACTAAGACACCTAATCTTATATTATTAACAGTTTTATCTTCTAGTGTGATATTTATCATGGCCGAATCCAGTTGACATGTCCTTCAGTTGCATTAAACAGAGCGGTCTTTTATTTGAAAGGCCAAGTTTTGGATCGCATATCACCGACAACTCAACGGCTTATACATGTTAGTGAAACAATAAAACTCGATATTATCATACGTGAGAGAAAGAGTGATGACAAAAAAGAGGTTGTTGGTATCAGTGTCGGACATCCGCAAGAATTGCATCTAACTCATGCCAAAATGTTTGATGTTGGATGTACGCCCTATCAGGTATAGAATGACCGCAACATTGCAATTTTGCAGGACTCTTGACACATTTGTCTTTCATTTAACCTTCATATTGTTTTGTTTACGTTAGTTAATGGAAAATGCAATTGTTATGCTCAAGGCTGCACCACTTCACGGTGATCTGTTGTGTCAACATAAGAAAGTGTTAATTGGAGACACACTTTGTCATACACCGGTCTACAAGCTTACAAATTTTGGTAGCTTCCTCGATGCCATTACACTTGAAGTAAGTACTTACAGGCATTTTTTTTAAACAACTACTTTTAAAGGCAATGCCAAAAGCTGGTAAAATTGCCTCAACTGTCATTCTAACAATGCCAATCATTGTACGGAGAGGCAATTGGTCCTTCAAAACACTGAATTCGCCTATTAAAGGAGTGACAAAGCACATCCGAATGGCAATGAATGAGGTTTGGATGCCCTTAACATCTAAACATCTTGAAAAAATTGAAGGAGCTGTATACACCCTCCTAACCCTTCCTGCCTATGGAGGAATTTACCTTAATGAAGTACAAATTCAATCCTTCAGAGCATTCCATTTGGATCAGGAGTTGATACTCTACCACCGGAGTTATAAGCATATCTTTGACATTTTACAAGATGAATTTCACCTCTTAGTATGCACAGATTGGCCAGAATGCTACTTCAATGTCCAAATTATTCACATTCAAGTGGACCTCTTTCCCGTAGAAGCGAAAACCATCTTCTACGACCTTCAATCCCCCCTCTCAGACTGTAGTCGGTGTGTCTCATTCAAACCTGACCACCGATTGGCTGGAACCCTTCAACTAACTTTGAAACCCACTTTGGGTGTAGTAATGCTGGAGGGTGTGGAGATTGAACAAATTAATTCAAAATACCTCTCACAATATCACTTATCCTACTACCGAAGGGATTGGAATATGAGTAATGACGAATTTGCCTTTGAACAAATACAACCACCAATCACTTTTATCTTTCGTGTACTCATCACACCATTGGTGAAATTTAAAACTCTCTTTGTTACTCTGGGCAAAGAGTTGATTCTCAATGCTCGACTACTTGACATTTCAAGTCTTCAGCATTCTACCGAACGATTGAAGAAGGAAGGATTTGTGAGAGCCGACTTAAGCTTAAAAAAGGCACTTCAATTTGATTTTCCACTACGAACCTCGGTGGGCTCATTTGTTCGGTCCACTTCTATTGACCCAAAAGGAAGTCGACTACAATTTACATTTAAGGAGTTGCTAGACGGTGGTATCAAATTTCAACCACTTTCAAATACTTCAATTCAATTGTCAGAGAGCATTGAAATTCATGTCTTGGCATCCATGTTTATGGCACCTCAACAAGTGACTGTTAAAATTACAATAATTTCAGGTGAATACAACATACAGAATAATATCCTCTTGTCGGATTTTGTTGAGGATGCAGCCTCTGTCCTCCCATCCAATGAGTTGCCTTCAAGTCCACCCTACCCTCGGGAGTCGGAGAGTTTGAAGATTTGGTTTGCCATTGGCATTGGAATTGTTTGTGGCATTGTTTGTGTCCTTGTGACAATTGCTTACTTCCTCCTTCGACGCTGGAGGCGAAAGGAGAGAATTCAAACGCAAATATTTCCCCATCCAATTATGCATGTTGAGTGTATGCCACCAAAAGTGACCACAAGATCACCACCCGACGCGGATCAATTGCCTCCCTCAGGGATGGCAATTCCACTGACTGTCGTTAAGGCTCATAAAGCAATTCCACAGACCAAATCGCGACTACTCATTGAAGCAGTACCGTCTGAGGAGGATGCATGTTGGAGTAGACAGAAGTTGAGTCACAATGTTTCATCATCCACTCTTTGTTTCCTTCCTCCCGGAGTTGTGGTACAAGATGAACTCGAGTGGAGACAATCCATCCCACGCATATTTTCCCCACCTGTTGTAACTTCTCCACCACCCTCTCAATCTCAACCATCGTATAAGTGTCTTTCACTTCAACAATTCTAAGCCACTAGCATTTATTACAAAACTGATGTGTCAGGCTATGTAAATAGAGAATTGTTTTGTTGTTTGTAAAAAAAAAAATTAAGAAATAAAATGAGAGAAAACATTTTTACAACCGTAATCAACTTCTATCCTCTATTAATTATGCATCGGTTCAAGATTAGAATTAGGAAAAGTTGTAGCGCGATGTTGTGTTGTCATTTTATAG